CCCATTTCTTTTTTCCATCTCTCCCATTCTTCCTTTCCATCTCCTTCCTTCCCTCCCCATTTCCCATTTTTTCTCTCTCTCTCTCTCCCATCTCTTCTCTTCCTCTCTCCAATTCCTCCTCCCCCAATCCCTCACATCCCTTCTCTCTATCTCTGTCCTATTCCTCTTCTACAGCTCTCTTTTCTCTCCATCTTCTCTCCATCCCATCCCATAATTCCCATCCCATCCCATCCCATCCCATCCCATCCCATCCCATCCCATAATTCCCATCCCATAATTCCCATCCCATCCCACCATTCTCCCTCTCTCCCTCCCCCTTCTCCCCTCACTCCCATCCCCACACGGATCCCTCACCATTCCCGGTGTCCCCCCACCATCGTTCCCAGTTTGTCCCATCTCTCACCGCAGTGCCACCCCAGTGTCCCCTCTCACTGTGATGTCCCCACCCTGCCAGTGTCCTCTATCACCGTGGTGTCCCCCAACCATCCCTGGTGTCCCCTCTCACCACAATGTCCCCCGGTGTCCCCTGTCCCCCTTCCTGTCCCCTCTTACCATGATGTCCCCATGCTCCCAGTGTCCCCTGTCACTGTGATGTCCCCCTGGTGTCCCCTGTCACTGCGATGTCCCCGCGGTGTCCCCTGTCACTGTGATGTCCCCGCGCTGTCCCCAGGTCACCTGGAGGTGCTGAAGCTGCTGGTGGCGCGCGGCGCTGACGTGATGTGCAAGGACAAGCGCGGGTACACGCTGCTGCACACGGCGGCCGCCAGCGGCCAGATCGACGTGGTGCGACACCTGCTGCGCCTGGGCGTGGAGGTGCGAGAGACCCCCGGGGTGGGGAGAGACCCCCGGGGTGGGCATGGAGGTGGGAGAGACCCCCGGGGTGGGGAGAGACCCCCGGGGTGGGGAGAGACCTGGGGTGGGTGTGGAGGTGGGAGAGACCCCCGGGTGGGCTGGGAGAGAGCCCTGGGTGGGGAGACCCCTGGGGTAGCTGAGAGAGACCCCCGGGTAGGCTTGGGTGGGGAGAGAGACCCCCGGGTGGGGAGAGACTCCTGAGTGGGCTGGGAGAGACCCTGGGGTGGGTGTGGAGACGGGAGAGACCCCCGGGGTGGGAGAGACCCCCGCGTGGGGAGAGACCTGGGATGGGCTGGGAGAGACCTGGGGTGGGCTGGGGGAGAGCCCTGGGTGGGTGTGGAGGTGGGAGAGACCCCGGGGTGACCTGGGAGAGACCCCCGGGTGGGCTGAGAGAGACCCCCAGGGTGGGTGTGGAGACGGGAGAGACCCCGGGATGGGGAGAGACCCCTGGGTGGGCTGGGAGAGAGCCCTGGGTGGGCGTGGAGGTGGTAGAGACCCCGGGGTGGGGAGACCTGGGGTGGGCTGGGAGAGACCCCCGGTGCAGGGGAGAGACCCCCGGTGCAGGGGAGACCCTCAGGGTGGGCGTGGAGAGACCCCCAGGGTGGGCATGGAGGTGGGAGAGACCCCTGGGGTGGGGAGACCCCTGGGTGGGTGTGGAGGCAAGGGGAGACCTCGAGGTGGAGGTGAGACCCCCAGGGTGGAGATGAGACCCCTGGGGTGGAGATGAGACCCTCAGGTTGAAGCTCAGATTCTCGGATTCTGTTGCTCCCAGGAATCAGTGAATCGAATTTCATCACCCTGGGTGGTGTCAGGATCCCTGGGGTGATGGTGACAGGAATTTTGGGTGACTCTCCACTGCCTTTCCCTTCCCCAAATCCCCAAAACCCCAAATCCTCTGGACTTTCTTGGTCCCTAACATCAAGGAACCAAATTCCTTCACCCTTGGTAGTTCAGGATCCTGTGATGGTGACAGAAACCTTGGCTGGGGACAAAATCTCTGGGTGATGGTGAAAGGAACTTCGGGTGCCCTTTCCCCTCCCCAAATCCCCAAAATCCCAAAATCCCCAATCCCATATCCCGCCCCGCAGATCGACGAGCCCAACTCTTTTGGGAACACGGCTCTGCACATCCCCTGGGATCAATGAACCAAATTCTCAGCCTGGGTGGTGTCAGAATCCCTGGGGTGATGGGGACAGGAACCTTGGATGGGGACAGGAACTTAGGGTACCCTTTTTCCCTCCCCAAATCCCTAAAATCCCCAAATCCCCAATCCCATATCCCGCCCCGCAGATCGACGAGCCCAACTCTTTTGGGAACACGGCCCTGCACATCGCCTGCTACATGGGGCAGGACGCGGTGGCCAACGAGCTGGTGAACGTGGGCGCCAACGTCAACCAACCCAACGAGCGCGGCTTCACCCCGCTGCACTTCGCCGCCGTCTCCACCAACGGCGCGCTCTGCCTCGAGATCCTGGTCAACAACGGCGCCGACGTCAACTTCCAGGCATGAGGGGTTTGTGGGGTTGGAGAGATTCCCTGGGATCCAAAAGATTGCCTGGGATTGGGGTTGGAGAGATTCCCTGGGAT